GATGCCTCACAGAAAGCAGGTCCGATTTGGACTTGGGGTCTTTCTGTGTGGAGTTTGCATGTTCTCCACGTGCTTGTGTGGGTTTTGTCCTGGTACTCCAGTTTCCCCTACAACACAAAATTATGTACAATAGGTTGCCTTCAGGCCCAAGCCACCCTTGCAAGAGAGAGCAGCAATCTCACTGGTATTTGTCTGGATAAATAACAATATTTTTTTAAATGCCACATCTGTGTTTTTATTTTGACTCCAATAATAATTAAAAAAAAACATCTATCTGTCCACACTTAAAGGCTGCATAGCCACTGACTTTGGTCTTGACTCGGTCCAGCCCCTAAAAGTCTTGGTCTCTGTCTCAGGTTAGGTGGTCTTGACTACAATGCTACCTTGGAACCTTTGTACACATAAAAGAAGAGGACATGAGCTGTGACAATGAAGAAAAAAACAGTTTTGGGGGAAAAACTAGTGCTGAGATATTTTCCTCTATCTGTTGCACAGTTACAGCACAAACATGTTCAGGTAGTACATGCTGTTAGTAAAATTTATCTTTAGAAATTCTAAACCTATATTGTTCAAACAAAAACACAGCTCTTGTGGGAAATTATTTATGACGCTTTGAAAATTGTGTAACTTGATTTACCTTCCGAGCAAATGGGAAAGTTCTGTTTTCCTAGCAGAGCCTTCATTAAAGATTCATGGGACTTACCATATCAGGACGGGTTAGGAGGAGCGTGACAGTGTGGCGACATTCGATAAAGTCCTACAACTCTGCACTGCCCACTTCATACACTCGCAAAAGTCCTTTCCCCTCAAAAAAATCTGCTTGTTTCAGAGAATTTGCAGTAAATAGTTGAACAGACCTTGGCTTTAGTCGCTGCAGCTGGCCAGCAATATTTACTACAACCAGAGGAAGTAATGCCCACTTATCTCTCTTGTACACAAGTGTAGTCGATTTGCAGGAATGCCTACTTCCTATTCATTATTTATGCCTAAATAAATGTAAGGGGAAAATTTTTGAATATGGAAAAAAACAGGAAGAGAACCTCTTGTGAAATATGCATGAGTGCACCACAGCTGTGTACGGAAATAAGGAAAAGCTGAGTCATTATAAAGAAAAGTAGGAAAACCAAATGGTGGTTATAAAGCTACATTCAGATGTCCCTGCTTTATTGTTAAAGTCCATGCAAAGTACAACATTAAAAACTAATTCTTAGCTTAAAAATTAAACTCTGGACTTCATCACAATTATATGTTTATTGTCTTCAACCTACTTTCTTTTTTATTAGATATCTACAAGCATTAAAATTTGTCAAAAGGTAGCTGCAGAAAGTTTTTATTGACTTTTAAGTTATGAAATTTAAATATAACTGAGCCACATGTTGTGATACTTATCATAACATCTAATTGTTTCACATGTTTTACCATGGATAATAAGTACAGCATGTTCTCACAAATTAACAAATCAGAACTTTCCTTTATCAGGTAAAACTGACAAAGAACATTGATGAACATATCATTGCCTTAAATAAAGAAGAGCTAAAACCTCTACTTAGTTCACCAAATAATTTAAGGCCAAATGTCTTTTTATTTTATCACCTTATTGAACATTTTCAACAATACTAAAAAGCAAATGTTGCAGAAAAAGCTCTACAATAAACACTTTTCAGTGCCAACATTCTTTTTATCAGAATAGAGACAATTTGATTGCTTTGCGACCTTTGCGACATACTTTATAAATAATTTAATTAGATATAACAATTGGAAAAAAACAAAATAAAATATTTTTTCATTTTTCTATGGAACTTTTTCAGAAACAAACATATGACCTTGCAGTTGAAGTAATACTGAATATGTTACCTGCTGTAGATATTCAGTGAACCCTTACATAATAGGAATTTACATAAAACTATTCTTATTTCAATGCACAAATGGTGGCAGCTGTAGCAGCTTGGGGCATTTGCAACAGGAAATTTTTATTTCTCTTTAAGTCCCAAATTGACAACATTGTAAAACTTCATAAAATCTGATTTATGTGACCTGCTAGTTGATGTTAATGACAGTGACAAACTTTCACTTGTCATTCAGGGTCTTGGTCCCTCTATTTGCCATATTTTATTTAAAGGATCCCCATTAGTCCCCACCATAGAGACTATTCTTCCTGGGATCCACAACAAAAAAAAAAAACATTAGAAAAACAAGACAATCTATACAACATAAAATCTCAACTGAAAAAGCAGAAAGCAGGACCGCAAATTATGACTACATAATACAAAAAAAAAACCACACTGCTCATAACTCAATTCAAATCATAATTAATCATTCAGTTAAATAAAGTTTCAGATCCTTTTTTAATCCATCATGATTATCAAAAAATTGTACACTGCAAAAAATGTCCACCTAACCAAGTTTTAAAATCTTATATCCAGCCAAAAAGTCTTTTTGATCTTGTTTTGAGACTGATTTACTAAACAAGAACTAATTGTGTAAGAATAATAACCTTGTTTTCAGAATGTGTAAGATTATTTGTCTTGTTAGCCTGAAAATTTGACTCAGATTAAGTCAAAATTTTCTGCCAATGGAGTAAGAACATTTTACTTGGTCATTTTCTTGAAATAAATGATTTGAATCAGTTTTTTTTTTCTTATTTCAAGAATCTTACCAAGTTAAATGTTCTTACTCCATTGGCAGAAATTTTGACTTAATTTGAGTCTAAATTTTAGGCTAACAAGACAAATAATCTTACACATTCTGAAAACAAGATTATTATTCTTACACAATCAGTTCTTGTTTAGTAAAACAGTCTCAAAACAAGATCAAAAAGACTTTATCTGGATATAAGATTTTAAAACTTGGTAAGATGGACCTTTTTTGCAGTGTATTTTACTGTAGATGGCAACATATTCCGTGTGGCTGTATAGATAACTATTTTTTAGCATTAGTTCTGGGCAGAGGTAGCTTGAAGGTAAGAGCAGAGATCAGGCTTGTATTAAACCCATGTCTGAGAAAAGACCAAAAGGTTTATGTAAAATCCAAGAATGCTGCTTTCATCCATGACAGGCCTTAACATTAGTTCTACAATTACAACACAATTCTAATGTAGCTTTATTTGGAACTGACTGCAGTTTAATCAGATTATTTTTTGAAGTGCAAGACCAAACAGCTGGACAGCAATCATCGTGACACAAAACTATCAGCTGTAATACCAATTTCTTTTATTCCAGGAGACATAAAATGGGCATTACATCTAGCCATGTGCTCATCGGTCCACTAAGAAAAGAAACTCTACTCCAAACTGAGGTTTAAAGATCTATCTACGACAGCTAAGATATTAATTGTTCATAACTTTTCCATAGAACCCCACTTCAAAATATCTGAACTGTTGCACTAAGTAGGCCCAGTTGTGTGAGTGATAAATGCCTAAAGTCGCATCAGAGCCTCTTAAGATGAGAAAACCCGTACTTGAGCCGGAGGAATGTAAAAAGAGCTAAATCCAAATGTTTATCCGCTGTCACCTGTGACAGCACAGCGTCTTACAAAGATGTCTTTAAATATGTGTGTGCGTGTGTGTGCATCTGCGTGTGAAGATAATACTTTATGAAGTGCATACCAGCTCTTCTTTGCTCGTCACTGAGACACAAAAGCCTTTCCAAACTGTCAAAATGTACAACTCTGCTTGAACGACAAGATGTACGACTCCATCTTGAAATATGTTTTTTTTTTTTTTTTGGCTGCTTGACATGCATAATGGTAGAAAATCAGTTGTGCCTTCCAGACATGGCATCCTAATGGCTTCCACTGTGGACTTTGTCTCGTTTCATTAACCTTACACTGTGTTTGTTGGCTTTAAGGAAATTGGTGTCAACATTGCAAACAGGGACAGTGACGCAGAGCTTAGTCAAAATGGGAAATAAATGTGGGTGGTTGGTAATACAATATATTTTGTATCTATAAAGGTCACATATATGTCCTACACTAATGACACATTTCTCATGCCAGTAGTATTGAATTATATACGGCACAGCTGATAAATGTTGCCCTGCAGTATGTGGGACACAGCAGTGAAAGTGCTGGGCTGTTCAGAGACTGTTGACATGATTGTAATTTTTGTATCTGACACGCATCAGAAATAGGATTCTCTGCCTGCCGACACTGATTTCAAACGTGAAGAGGAAAGATCATGTCATGGAGGCGTGTGTCACTCAGCTGTCCTTCAGCATGCAGCCTGGCATGCATCGCAATGTGTTTTGCTCATTCAATTTCCTGTGTTTAAATCTGACATGCAGGTTTTGTTTTGTTTTTTGTTTGTTTTTTTTCCTCCTCTGCCAAACCGAATATGATAATGTCACTCGAGAATTGCTAGACGAAAAGATTTCCATGGTGCCGTCAGCTTTTTCTTTTTTTTTTATTTATTTATTTTTTTATTTTTTTTGCTGAGGAGATGAATTGAATAGTAGATGCAATCTTTGGAACCAATACAGCATGCATTATAATGAAATCTTTAGCTTTTTTTATTCAGAGAAGCTGTGTTTGGAAAAAGGGAGTTTGCAAGCCAAATTGGATTAGAAATGGTGGATATCATATTAGGTGTTTTTTTTCTGACTTCACRCTCTGTGAGTGTGCAGCTTAGTGCTGCAGGACTCTTCAGCTATCAATATTACAAATGACAAAGGTTTGAGATTTAAAAGTGATGCATCAATTCATTTTATCAGAAAAGATTGGCGTTGCATAACAGAATAAAGGTTCTTATGTTGTTTAAACAATACAGCTGTGCATTTAACTTTTTATGACTGCTGCACAGATGAAGTACATCTGCTGGAGATGTATTACCGTGGTTTACAGTTTAAATGTGGACACTAAGAAAGATTTAACAAAAACTTTAATAAATGCTTTAGTTTACAAATCAATGTTACAAGAAGAAGCAAAACCTACAGTAAATGTACGGCTTGTAGAGTTAACACAATAGAATCTTTATTCTCAACAAATACTTGTTTTTTTCTTTTCAGCTTTGAAAAAAGGACGCTTCTGGATCACCCCTGACCCCTACCACAACGATGACAACATCCAGATTGGACGTGAAGTCAAGATTTCCTGTCAGGTATGACCTAATAAATGAAACTGGGAAAGCGGCAAACACATTTTTGCTTCTTGATATTCTTATTTATYTATCTGCACAGTAAAAATCGCTGTGTTAAAAGCAACTCAGTTTGTAATCCAGCTCTGGATCAAATTTGGACCAAGTCTAACCCTAGTTATTGTTTTTTTACTCAGCATTGGATTATCAGTTTGATACAAAACAATGGGTGAAATTTTGGATGAAAAATTTAGTTAAAATGTCTAATTTGTGAAAGCCGAACTAACTGTATTGTACAAATTTAAGTTAATAAAGCCATGCAAATTACCACTTTTCCTTACAAGTTTTTTTTATTGTCATACTTATTACATCCTTTAATTTAGAGCTACAGTCATGTCTAATTTGGTCAACTTCTAGCTTAATGTATTAATACAACAATATAAGGTTGGACCTGGCTACTTAGGCAAATTCTGTGCCAGGGATCGGCAACTTAAACATTGGAAGCAGAAGCACTTTTTGTTGACACTAGCAGAGGGCCACATGCTGTAGTGCTGCACATATGTTTAGTAAACCAACATACAGTACAGAAATTTAACATATTTCATGCTCAAATTTTGTATAACAGTTGTACTCTTGATTATTGAGTATAAATACAAAATGTTTGAAGCAAACAAAAATAAACACTTACTTTAGCAAGCTGAAATTTAACAAGTAAGTAAGTAAGTAAGTAAGTAAGTAAAGTTTTATTTATATAGCGCCTTTCACAGTAATAAATTCACAAGGTGCTGTACATTCAGGGAAGGTGGGGAGGGGACAGTTAACACCGGTCATGCAGCAAAACACAGTTGTGCTACCGTAACAACAAAACAACAGAAAAACTAAAAAAAAAACACAAGGGAAGCTGAGGAAAAAAGCAAAAACATCATATTATATCAACACTGTGACACACTATGGTGTTTATGAAAAAACAAACCTCTGCATAGGGCAGATTTATTAGCCAGAGGAGTAAGTGAGTTTAGGGAGCCCAGAGAATCTTGTCTCCTAAACCAGCGCAGCCATAGTTCAGAATATTGATGGGAACTGTTCATTCTGTGTGGCCCTCTGCCTGCTCAGGAAACCAGATTAGACGGGTGAGAGAGGAGGGGGGTAGCCTTATCGGCGTAATCCAGCCAGGAAGAATTTAGTCAACAGATCAAGGCCGTTGTAGGGGAGAGCCAGATTCTGTAATCAGTTGTTTTGGGAACAGAAAGAGAAAGGCAGATGAAAGCAATTTTCCTTCTGCTTTAGAGTTCTGCTGGTGCATCTCAAGGTGGCGAATCCAGTCAGGCAAATAATGTGGACAAATTCCGCTGAGCCGATCTATCAGCTTTCTCCAAGATCAATTCCATCTGGCCAGCAAAGTCCAGGGACCACAGCCGGCCCGCGACCCTCAATAGAATCACTTGCAGACCGAGTCCAGCTCGCTCAAGGCAAAATGTCCGAGTGCTAATAGAATACGGCCATCCATCAAAATGGTCAGTCATACAGGAAATGAAAAGCCACCAACGCTGTTTTGTAGAACACCAAGGGACCACCAGGCCAATCTGCAGAATCCAGTGATCGGAATCCAGACATATATCCAGAACAGAGAAGAACAGAGGTCCCACCTTTGACATGCCCTCCCATGGAAGAAGAAAAAACTTTGTTCCAAAAAAATTACTAAGAGACCAGCTAACCAAATCCATAAAAATAAAAATATGCATAATTTCTAGTTTCGGATGAAAAATGTAGAGAAGGCTCCAAGCAGCAAAGCAGGGAAGATAAGGAAGGGCAGGAGAGAAGGAATAAGCRTCTTACTCCTCCGAGAGCAGGAAAAAAATCATAACAACATAACAACATAAGATGCCTTGAGTGCAGACTSCTGTGTGGTTGTGGTTTTAGTAAAGATTCACTGTTTTTGTACTTATGACTTCACTAAACTTCTCATATTTAGCTTTGTGCAGCATGTCGTAGTGGAGACTTATGTTAAATCCTTCATGGCAGACAGCATCTCTAATCAGACTAAAGGTATAGATTTGTCTTAAAATTCTATGAACAATGCCTGACTCCCAAAAATATATATAAAAAAATTAAGTAAATCCTATTTTGCGGGGTGGGTGCTCTTTGGTGGGCCAGACTGATGTCACCCGTGGGCTGGATGTGGTCTGTGGGCTGCAAGCTGCCTATGTCTGGTCTTGGTTTCTATTGGGCTAAATTTACTCTAAAGGTTAAAGTTTTGTAAATGCTTCCATCTTGTTTTAGGTCTACAATTAGACACAATTGGTTAAAACATGATTAAAAACATAAATAAAAGTAGTTTCTAGCAGGAATCAAACTTGAATCTTTGGTATAACAAGTATTTTCACAGTCCACTACACCAAACAGCTACATACCTAATCAGAGAGTTGGTAGTCTTATTTCTATACTTACTCTACTTATTATATTCTATACTCGTACAAATATTCTCTCCCCGTTTTATCAGTTACAGAAAGGTCAAGGTATTTGTTTCACACAAACTCACAAGCATGCAGGTAAAAAAAACTGACTGTCAATAAAACCTAAATAACAGTGAGTTCTGTGTCATAGGTGGAGGCGACACCTCCAGAGGAGCTGATATTTAGCTGGTTGAAGAACGGCCGTGCCCTGCGGAGCTCGGAACGTATGGTCATCACTCAGACGGACCCCGACATCTCACCGGGGACCACCAACCTGGACATCATTGACCTCAAGTTTACCGACTTTGGCACATACACCTGCGTGGCGGCACTGAAGGGTGGAGGCATTCCTGAGATCAGCATTGACGTCAACATCTCTTCCACAACTGGTGAGCCTCACCCCCCTTTGTGCCAGGGGCTCATCTCAACACCCCCCATCATTCTATGTGGCACATTCACACGCAGAGTCCTCAGTCCTCTGTCATACATTAACAACCCTAATAATTGAAAGAGATTGTTTTATCTTTATGTTGTAGATTTTGTCAGTTTTGTCAGTTGTAATATAATGATCTAAACTAAGAGAAGTTCAGTATTTGAAAGTTGAGCTAGAAATGTACCTTTTCTTTTAATGAGCCGCTGCAGCTGACAGGCATGAAAATTAAACTTAGCATTGATTTGTCTGAGCTAGACAATAAAAGCTTTGTAACTTTCAMCTAGGAACACACTTAAAACATTTTTTAAACAAGTGTTGCTACAGGGGGGGTGTCTCCGTAATACATGGGGGAGTTTCTTGGCTGTGTGGGCGGAGTTTGGTAGAACCATGATTGGTCACACTGATTTGTCTTGTGGGGCAAGTTAAAAGATGAAGTAATGTGAATAGTAAAATTATTGTAAACATGTAAGTACAACTGACTGTGTATTTATAGTTTAAAACAGAAGGTCTCACACGTAAACACAATTTATTGACTTCACATTTGGTGCTGCTAGCACCTTCACGTCTGGAGTTGACTAAAAAATTATTTATATTAAATTTATAGGCACTTATTGGCTGTTTTAACCAAAAATAATCAATACAACTGATTATGTCTTTCCATAATCCTCCCACAAAAGTCAAACAGACCAATTGAGCAACAGCTAAAGAGGAAATTGTGGATAAAAGAGGAAAGGTCACATAACAAGTTTGGCAATATTATTTAGCCCTTTCTCTCCCGGTCCTAATTTCAAATAGAAAAGCAAACAAAACATAAATCAATCAATCACTCAATAATTATCAAATTGACTGATAAAAAATGCTTATATCGTTATACATTTGTTATCCATATTTCCCAGCTGTAGAACTAAACAAATAGATTCAGGTAACATTTAACACTAATTCTTGTTTAATTAATCAGACACTAAAAATCTGTCATCTTACCATCATGTTAATTACACAGAACATCATTCTTCTTTGTTGTCACAGATCTAAGTCTCTGTGATTTCAGCCACAGTATAAAACGCTACTAATCTTTAAAGAAAAGTTGTTTTTTTCTTATCATTTTCTGCTGCTCAATTATAAATCAGTCATCTCAAAAGTCAGCAAGGCATAGGCGCTTCAGTGACAGAAGTAGTAGCTTGATGACAACCAAAGTAAAAAAATAAAAAAATCTGTCAAACTTTTTTCTATCTTGTTAAATTTTAATCAACACCTTTACCTGTCAGATTTTATCCACCTCGAGAGGTCTATAACTTTAAATAGCCTAACCTTTGGCTAGACTTTTCTTGAGCACATTTAGTCAATTTAAAAATAATACCAACGAAATGAGAACAGGCTTTGCAACAGTATTACAATTCTGTGTTAGGAACTGGGAACTGGGTATAAAATGGGAGAGGAATGATCCTCCTTACCTTTCAGTTCTAACATGGGGTCAATCAGTTACGTGTTTTTGTCACAGTTTACTGCATTGATTAGAGCTACCATGACTGAGAATTTCCAGCTTTTTACCTCCCAGATTCCCAGATTACCCATTTGGGGATTCCCGTATATGTTGTGGTTCTGCCAGCACTGTAGATATCTGTTTCTGCTTTGAGTTTACTGCCATGTGCTCGGTACTGATAAGTAACTTTTGGGTTGTGTGATGCAACTTGGTGTTCATAGGGCGCTACCTTGTATGCAGACTCGCACGGCGAAGCTCAATTACTGCTACCTTTATTCACGGTTTTGATTTTCTTTTGCACACATACACGCACCTCTCTGCCACTCAGAGAGTGAACATGAAAGCAGAACGTCGACCTTGGGTGCATAATTACTGTTAGATAATCCTTTGATAATCCCTGTGCTCTAAAACAGTGGGATCAATCGCATCTGCCAAGATTGTTTCCTCATTATCTTTTAAGTAGTGCAGTTTTTTTTCTTCTTCTTTTTTTGAGCGCCTGAGTGATGCCAATGCATTAACACAGATCCTTTAATGTGCCGAAATAATTAAATAAAACATATTGCCGTCTGACTGAGGAAATAACAGAGGAAATGACTGACTCTATTGTGAATGCGCAAAATGAAAGGTTTCCTTTAGGCTTAGATTTGATTGCTTCTTAAGCTTTCAGTGTTCCCGTTCGAATGTGGGGGCGATGAAATAGCATGAAAGCCTTGTGTTGGCATAGGGATGCTCTTGTCATCCAGAATAATAAACTGAATTTTGTTTCTTCTTGTTACAATTCCTGCTGTTTTACCTGGTTGCGGGTGGGCTGTGTGCCGGAGATTGCCTGTTTCTTTCAGTCAGATTGATGCCATGAATCACTGAAGTGTCTTTGCTGAGCAGTGCTTGGTAGCTGCTGTGTGCTAAGAGCACCTCGTGCCTCTGCATCTTGGGAAATAGCTCAAAGCTCCCTAACGTTTACCATATTGGCTTCAGTTTTAGATTCCACCGCAGCATTTTTGCCACAAACCAGACCGATTCTCACCCCGTGCAAAAGAAAATACCTATGATCTGCTTTTCCTTTCAGCTTATTTTAAAACAGACTTTTTGACTTTTTCTTTTTTGTAAAACAGCGCTAATATTTACTGTTGTGGCACACTCATTAAATAAGCAGATTTCTTTTTTTTTCCTCTCTCTCTCTGAAAAAGGCTTCCAGAGATTGTGAGGCTATTAAATATTTATGAATGTGGTCAGGAAACGAGGACATAGACCTCCCCTTTGGAAGTTGTTGAGATCAAAGACCACAAGACACAAGAATTGCAGAAAGAAAAAAAGAGTTGCAAGCATTATTGTACAACATCCCTTACGCCTCCAACAGCAAGCAGAGACCTCATTAGCATGTGTATTAAATGTGCATCAAGTGGATTGGGTTACTGTTTGATGCTGGGATTTCTGTCACTCTCATGCTTTGACTTTGAAATGTTGTAATTTTGAAATGTTATAATTTTTAAAATGTTATATTTGGACTGGAACTATTTGTTGGACAATTTAGAGTTTGATAAAGTGCAGAGTTTATTAGGGATAAATCGTTTTTCAACACTTTGCTGATAAGCTGATAGCCACTTATTGCACTCTCTTTATCATTATTACTGTGACAGTGGAGTCTATTGGTTCTATAAACTGTTATGGAGAGATAATTCACTTTGATAGATTTTAGATTGAACAAATGAGTATTGGTTTTCCCCACTCGGATRCAGAATTACAGAATTTGTAAAAGTCATCCTTTTTTGGTACAGGGAAATCCTTCTTTGATGAGTTTCTTCAATTAACATCCAACTCACAGTTGAAATTCTGCCACCATCCTGTGTTTCTGCCACTCTTAAAAATAGCTGCTGTTAAATAATTAGTCAAATCAATTAACTGCTTAACTGATTAGAAAATGAGTTGGGTTAATAAATACAATGTAAAACCTTTTTTTGATGCTAATTTATGCTGTTTGACTTGTTTYAGTAAGCCACCCATGGCTGTTTAGTCTCCTTTCAGTTATGTTGGCTGTTTGACTCAAGTTGCAAACTTCTAGGTAACTATGCCACATGTGACTGTAACAAGGTTAACATGACCTGCCAGCTGTTCTGTGATGGATTCAGCAAAACCTTCACTGACCCTGATAAATAGGCTGAACTCTGTGAGCTCTGTTTCCTGACTCACCCACATGGTGTAAAAATGAGACACACGAACCAGATGTGCTACAGCTAGCTGCTGTTGCAGTTGCCGATATTTATGCTTGCACACAACATCAGAAGTCTATGTAAAACTGATGCAAGTGTAAAGTTTTTTTAAAAAATATGCGGGGTGGGGGGGGNGTCTTATATACCACCATGAACTTTTCCAAATGGATGTTTCAGAAAGATAGAAATCCACTCAGACCAGCCTTTGCTTATCTGGTCACAATTAAAATCTTACTTCTCCAAACCGAGGTCTTCCAAAAACCCATGTGCAACAGGTAAGATATTTATTTTGTAACCTTTCACCTAAAAGATCTGAAATGTTGCCTTAAATCTAACATCATTGCAGCTGTAATACTGACATCCTCTTCCATCGATAACCATTTTAAAAACTGTTCCATTTTATATAATTTAGATGTTATTACACAACGTAATCCATCCAGTGCATGAACACAATAATAATATATACAGATACTGAGAAAGCAGACAGCTTTTTATTTATGAACTGCAAAAGGTTGCTCTATAATGCCAACTCAGGCAATCTCCAGACTGACCGAATTGGATTGTTTAAAAAAATGTAAGCTGCAGAAATCTGTTTCTCTTTTGTTTTGGAAGACCAAGCTAAAAGTATTTTATTTTTTTAAAATGTCTCATTAAAAACAGATCATAAGTTTAGTTGAAGTCCCCACCAAATGGTCACCAGCCAAAGAGWTACATTTATGTGGAAAGATGAAAAGTGGGTTAGCTCATGAAGGTTTTTTTTGTCCCTCATCATTTTGTTCTTATGTTGACAATGAGAAAAGTTTAAAATTACCCCCAATCTCTTTCAGCCTCCTGTGCTCATCTTTAACAYGGAAGCAATTTGGTAAAATTGTACTACTAGAAAAAGGATTTAGTAAATGGTATTTGTCACACTTGACATTTGTAATGTGCTATGACTTGTAAATCCCAATTACATTATATTAATGGTTCACTCCATCAGTAATTCCAAAACAATGAAAATGTACAAAGCTAAAATTTGTATGTTTKAGTTTCAAAGTTATGTTTTAGATGAATCAAACAGCACAGATCCCTGCAAATCAACCAAGAAACACCCTGAAACAAGCCTTGTGAGGTGAGAACTGGGATGAAAGAGCTTAACAGCTGTCCCACAGCTGGGATGCTGTCTTGAAAAATTGGTTGTATGGCAACAGTGGATGGCAGCTACGCCATCTTCTCTGTGATGTACAACTCTTTGGCAGCATCTGTCTACATAACAACCAGGATGTTTTC